ATGTACATTTTTACAAAAAAAATTATTAATTCCCAATACTTACATAAATAATTAGTCGACAAATGTACACGACATGATTGTCGGGGTTACTTTTTATCCCTGATACTTATTATTATTTTAATTTCCGCAGATGAATGAATTTAAAAAAAAAAATGCTGATTTTTGAATTCATACATGGAAAGATGAATATAAGTATTCATTCATTATTTAGACCAATTTTTAAAATATTTTACCCCCATACTGCATATTATAAAATCCAATAGAATTAAAACTCACAGTCAACCTATATCATATGATAGAACATGCTGCATTCGATCATAAATTACATTTTTACGTATCAAAAAGATAAAAAACATTTTAAGTCGGAGAATTACATTAATAATTATTTGTAATCTAAAATACCTATTAAATCTTATTTACATGTAGTTCCAAAAATATATATATATATATTTTTTATAATTTTTTCCCCAGTTTTCCAAAGTCGATTAATTGCAGCAGTAAATATTTTTAATCTAAAATATCTTTTAATAAGTTTTTTTTTTTTTTTTTTTTTTTTTTTTTTTTTTTTTTTTTTTAAATATCCACTCCTAAATATTTTTAACTATTTTGTGTAAAACGTGATCGTTCGTGTATGTTGTCAACAATAACATTGCAGCCACTGCACATGCACATGTATCGATCGCCACAAAAACAACAATGATCAAATTTCACTGCTGTATTTGGAATAAACAAGGGGCGGAGCTTACTGGCGGCAAGATTAAAGCGGGGTCCGCTTCGCGCATGAGTGCGTAAAGCGAACCCAGAAAGCGAACGCCGGGTTCGCTCTAGCGGACCCAGAGCTGACCCCGAGCGAACGCAGAGCGAACCCGAAGCGAACCCAGAGCGCACCCAAAATTTCTGAAAGCGGACCCGTAGCGGACCCCGAGCGAACCCAGAAAGCGAACCCGGGGTGCGCTTTGGGTTCGCTCTGGTGTTAGGTTGTGTCCGGTCGGTACTGTAGGTGTCAGTTTTATGCTTATAGTAATTTCATGAATGCATACCGTTTCTAGTCATTAATTATGAGGGGAACAAATGTGATTGGTGTTCTTAATTATGTAGGTCTTTTTTTTTTTTTTTTTAAATGGAAATTGATATATTTTTTGATTTATGAATTTGTATACATTCATCAAATAATTTGTGACTGCCATGCAAATAATATGGTAATTGAGTATATTGATCAAGTTAATAGCAAATCATAAACTTGTCTAAATATTAATAAATTAAGCCATTTCTATAATGTAAGTGCATGCCTTTTTTTCTTTCTTTTTCTTTTTATGCTCTGCATTTGGTGAATTTGGATTCATGAGTTATCTTCATTTAATCAGCAGACATGATTATGAAAATTTTCTAAGATGTGTCTTTTATCAATTATGACATGTCTTAGGATATATCTTAGGACAGTCTTAAGATATGTCTTATGGTGTAAAACAAAAGTATCTGAAGTCCTACCTTTTGATATTAAAAGTATGAGCATGGAGCACTGCATCCTCCTGTTAAGAAATTAATATTTTATAAAAATTATAGGATTAGATTAAACAAACACAGCATATTCCATAATTCCTAATTGTTTTCCTGGCACCAGCACTTAATTCTTTAATCACCTAAGATTTGTCTTAGGATAAGCTCATCATCGTCTTAAAGTTAGGAGTCTCCTAAGATAGAGCAGCTTCATTGGCCTCACTTAAGACCAAGACATGTTATAAGTTGTCCTAAGATATGTCTTAGTCATAAGCATGCCTAATGCACAATTGCCCCCCCCCCCCCCCCCCCCACTCCACTGCATCAAAAAAAAAAAAAGATTAAATACAACCTCCGATTTCAATAAATACACTTGCATATCTTCTTCAAAGGAATGTTCAAACAGGTTCAAAGAATTTAGATTATGGTTTTGATTTTTAATCCGAGTGAATTAAGAATGTTTTCTTAAGGTCAGTGAAGGTAAACAATGAAGACTTTAAATTAATCCTGTTAAAAGATAAGTTTACTTTCTTATAATACATGCAGGTCAATGGTAAATATGCAACTGAATTACTTTTATATACAGTGTATAGATACAACAGGCTTTTACCTCAAGGATTGCTGTAGGTGGCACCATGAAAGTCCAGTAGGTCAGTGTTGACTCACAAGCGCCTTTCCTTAGTTGTCAGCAGTTGGCATATATTTTTAAATGTATATAGACCAGATATATTTACAGGCCATCTGTGTTGTTTGTTTGTAAATGTGCGTTTTGGTGACAGTACACCCCGGCATAATTAATGGGCAGTGTTTGTTAAATCTTGTCCCTTGAGAGACAAGAATCTCTTTTTTCTTGTATTGAAGTGTTGACTGAAACCTTTTGGTGTGTGCCAAAAATATGCTGTGTGCTGTAAGGGTCGTGATTAATTTATTGTCATCTAATTTTTTTTTTTAAATGTGTTCAGACAGGATAGCGGTGTGTAATTTCTTTATAAATTTTCTTCCCTGATAAATGAAAAGAGGAAAAAATTATTATAATCATACTTTTTTAAAGGCGTAGATTTCATGGAATTCATTGTCATATTGTGTTGATAGATAATATGAAAAGTGTGTACAATAATTTTTTGACAGTGAGGATATTTCTTTTGCAAGATGAGCAGGACTTAACTTGCCGAAATTATATTACTGAATGGGTTTTAAGAATGAGGAGTGTATTAATGACTGTGGCCGTGAAATTTGATAATTCAAGCAATTATAATTCTGTCATATTTACTGATATGCAGTGCAGTGTGTTAAAAAATTGGCTTTGAGGTATGCCCTGGTTATGATCCTTGAATCAAAGAATTAACTTTTGATAAATTGACCAAAAGTTAAGTGCATTTTCATGTGTGCTTTTCATATTTCATGGAGTTTATCACATGTTTTGTGAGCAGCAGTGTTAAGAAGAAACTACATTTTGAGAATATATATACTTGGAGTTTATTGATTAAGTTGGTAAATTATGCACCATCACCATCACAAAAGAAAGTGTCCCACTAAATTGTCAAAGGTGAGTCAACCAAAGTAACTCATATTGTTGTAAAGAAATTTCAAAATGCAGAGAGGGCCAGATCTATTTTATGAATGTCCTTCAGGGTGTAAATTTTTTTTTACTTGAAAGAATGTTGATTTAAAGACTCTATGGGTGTTTAGTTTTGTAAAGTAACCCTGTATAGTGTATTTAACCAAATGGGCTGAACCTATATTTAAGAGGTTATTGATATATCATATAGAGAACCTATAGTTAATCAACTGTACCAAAAAATGCGTCCTTGAATATTTTCACAAATATACTTCTAAGTACATACACCACATTGATGTAATCTTACAATTTGTACATTAATAATATTGCCCAGTGGATATAAGACCAGGTACAAAAAGGGATATACATTTTTGTCAGCATATGTCATTGTTTTTTTCTCTTCTATGATAGCCATAGATCATTGACTTGTCTGGCAATTTTGACATCAGCGGTCTGAAGGAGTGTGCTTGGAATGTGATTGAACCCAGTGGTTACAAACATGTAATATATTGTGGCTTTAGCATGTATAAGTCATATTTTGGTAGTGTATGTACATATGATTGTAATGGAGGGGAGACTGCCAAATTGTTGTATTGACTTGGTGATCAATTGCAATTGATAAATCAAATTTTGCACCTACTCGACAAGATCCGATTGATAAAGAAGTTGAATTAAGTGCAATTGCATTATAATCTTAAAAGTTACCCAATAGTGCTTCTAGTAATCTCAACTTTTTTGTGGCACCCTTTAGAAGTCTATATTGATTTTACAGTTTGTGGTAGTATTGTAGCTGTTATTCTTCGGATCCCTTTCCTTTAACTTCTACAATATTCCTTAAGCTTAAATGTATAACATTTAATCAGTTATACATGCACTGAAAGACTAATATTTAAGCATTTAAAAAAATTCTAATAAGTACATAAGAATGATTTTATCAAAAAAAAATTTCTTCAAATGTTTTATAATTGACATGCTGAAGCCAAATTAAAAATAAATTCTTTAGATTCTTACTTAATCTTCAATATTAATGTCGGTTTACATTCCATATTGTGTGTACAAACTGAAATTGGGCTTTATGTTGATCAACATATTCATGTAAACATGGAGTGTTTAGTTAGTTAAAAGTGAAGTAAGTGATATAGATTCTGGTCTGTTGAACACAGGTGTTTGTGACAGGTTAGAGTGTAGAAATGTTGGTCAGTATGAAAGGAAAATTATTCTCAGAAAGGTCACCTGGTGTGTTTTTTGACATGAAATAGAGATACTGAATGTAGATCGAGTTTATTATTTTAATTTTTCAAGTCTACCTAGTTGATTACATGACATTGTATACTTATACTGAATATCTTAAAGCTTTATTAATGATATATACAATGTATATATATATATATATATATATATATATATATATATATATATATATATATATATATATATATATATATATATCTATATCTATATATATATTAATAGTGTCTTTTTTTCATAATCATTTCGCCTTTTTTTGTAAAAAAAAAAAAAGAAAAAACTGCAAGAATTTTGTCATTTTTAAGCATTCTCTTACTGTGGTTGTCTGATTTTGACATGAACATGTAAATAATTTATATGAAAACAGAATGTATGATTAACATGCATGATTTAGTAAAACACTATTTTACCCAAACTAAAGGAACAGTCCAAAAATTATATTATTTCATCTTTAATTCCCTTTGATATATGCAGTTCATATTTCATCGATTTTAGACATCTTTATAAGAAGGTATTCATTTTATTTGTATTTGCCATTAGCATGTTTTACTGTTTATTATTGTAGTTTATTACACCAAATGATAGCTCTTGTCAAGATGTGCTCTATATGACATACCTAATCATGAGTCAAACTCAATTACATGCTTGATGACTTTTAATTTAGGATAATAATCAAATTAGTTCATTTATTTTGTAGGCTCGGTCAGAAACTGAGGTGCAGTCTGAAAAGGCTTGGCTAGAAGCAGAAAAAGTATGGCTGGTTCACAAAGGGGGGTTTGCCTCGGCCAGTATCATAAAGGGCAATGGCATGTCCCCCCTGCCGGAGGGTCGTGTCCGTATTAAACTGGACCATGGTGGTGATGTTCTGGAGGTGGATGAGGATGATGTTGAAAAGGTATTGAATAAAATTAATGGAAAATCGAGATCATCTGAATTGGAATATACATATCAGACACTTGCCATCTTGTTTTTACCCAGTTACATGTCATATGTGAACAGATTTAAGACTCTGACAGTGAATGTCATTCTAATTTGAGTGCAGTTTGCAAAACTTTTTCTTAAATGTGCATAAGTAATGTAGCTGCTATAAAAGCTAGAAAAAGTAGTAAATTTCTCTGCCTCTTCAAAAAATTTGTAACTGGGTAACTCTGAATGAATGACTTGTTCTAGGCTAACCCGCCCCAATTTGACCGGGCAGAGGATCTCGCTTCCCTGAGATTTTTGAATGAGTCAAGTGTCCTACACACCTTGAGACAGAGATATGGAGCTAACCTTGTACATACTTACGCGGGGTCCAGTGTAGTGGTGGTCAACCCAATGCATCAAATGTCCATATATTCAGAAAAGGTAGGAAGGTTGTGGATTATGTATAATAGTGATATTTGCTTTATGATTTACAAGTGAATCCATTTTCTTTATATCAACATTTGAATTTTTCTTCAAATTTTTTAACTTGGTTGAGAAGCAAAATTTATTTTTAATGACTCAACCATGCAATTTTAATTACTTAATTATCCATGCAGATTGCTGGTACTGAACATGAACACATTTTTTTCACAGTTGATACAGGTCTTTAAGGGTTGTAAACAAGAAGACATGCCCCCTCATGTCTACGCCAGTGGGCAGATTGCCTACAGAGACATGTTGAACAGTAGGCGGGACCAGTCAATTATCATGATGGGCAGAAGTGGCAGTGGCAAGTCAGTCAATGCCAAACACATCCTGTCCTACCTAACACTGGCAGCAGGCAGTGTTGGCAACATAATGTCAGGTGAGCTATTTATTACTGATGCAGGTATACTGATATAGGTAGAAGACAGGTGAGCTGTTTATTACAGATACAGGTAGAAGATGGGTGAGCTATTACTGATACAGGTAGAAGACAGGTGAGCTATTTATTACTGATACAGGTAGAAGACAGGTGAGCTATTTATTACTGATACAGGTAGAAGACAGGTGAGGTTTTCTTTTTAGATTCAGAGAGGCCTGCACTTTTAAGCATGTTTGGTAATACTCGTACATGTAGAATTTGTTTATGATACATGTAAGATGTATCATAGATGTTCTGTATCATACTGTGGAATCATTTTAATTCGTGGAGTCAATGTTCCCAAAATTTTACTGGTTGGGGTGGGGGGTGTTAATTCACATAAACAGAAGCTTTAATGTACCAACATGTTGAAAAACTTATTGTTCGAGGAGATTTAAAACCATGGTTTGATAAGGTTGTCCTGTGAAATCCACAAACATTAGTCCTCCAAGAAAGGTGATGATTCCGCTGTAAACATTTTTTGTTTCTTGGTAATCATATTGCATAATCCCTAATTGTTTTTATTTGATTATCTAGGAGACAAATTGAATGCTGTCTCGACACTGATGGATGCCTTTGGAAATAGCAGATCTATACTAAACACCAATGCCAGTAGATACGGACAGCTGACAACATTAGATTTTGATCATTCAGGCCAGATTGTCTCTGCATCCATACAGGTATAAACATGGAAATGTAAAAGGATTTCAAGTTAGTTCTTGGAAAATTCTGAGGGCTTATAGTTGGAATGGTGAGGAAATTGCAGGTATTTGTAGATTGGAGATATCCAAGCGAAGATCTAAATTCATAATGTAGTCAGGATCACTTTAGTATATTTCGCATATTCAGTATATAGGTGATGCAGATGTTGAAGTTGAACTAATGCTAATGTTTACTTCAAAATTATTTTGCTTTATAAATTTTGTCTAATTTACATTTTATAGGTAATGCTCTTTGAGAAGACGAGGGTGGTGAGACGACCGGAAGGGGAGCCCAGTTTCCATGTGTTCTATCAGATGTTGGCTGGACTAGACTCTAATCTAAGAAATGAACTGCAACTCAATGCTCTAGGGGACCCAAATCTGTTTATGACACCTTTACAAAGGGTAAATACATCCAAAATATTGTAAGGGGACATTTTTCAAGGGGTTTGCAAAGTAATATTTTGAAATGTCTGAATGTTTCTGCACTGGAGGTGAATCTGCTTATTGAAGGTCTTTCTCTCCCACTTGACTTATTTAACTGATTCTCTCCAACCTTACTTATTTAACTGATTCTCTCCCACCTGACTCATTTAACTGATTCTCTCCAACCTGACTTATTTAACTGATTCTCTCCCACCTGACTCATTTAACTGATTCTCTCCCACCTGACTTATTTAACTGATTCTCTCCCACCTGACTTGTTTAACTGATTCTCTCCCACCTGACTCATTTAACTGATTCTCTCCCACCTGACTCATTTAACTGATTCTCTCCCACCTGACTTGTTTAACTGATTCTCTCCCACCTGACTCATTTAACTGATTCTCTCCCACCTTGATCATTTAACTGATTCTCTCCAACCTGACTTATTTAACTGAAGTGTTAAATGAGATAAGTGATAGTGTGTACATGTACCAGTAAACAAAATGGAAAGGGCTGCATCCCAACTTTTAGTATTAAATAAGCATAAAAAAAAATTGGTCCTCCACATGACATGGTGCTAACTTTAAATCATGCTGAATTTGCTTATTTTATGTTAACTAGGATAATATCATAAATAATTCAGTCCTGGATTTTGAATAGAATGAAGATCGTCAGAGAGCAGCCACTTCCTGGGGTAAGATCTTCCATGCCATGGATGTGGTAGGAATGTCTGAAGAGGAGAAACGTGCCATATGCTACATCCTGGCCGCCATTTATCACCTGGGTGTGGCTGGAGCTGTGAAGGGACAGAACAATAAACCGCAGTTTGCCAGACCAGCCGCGGCCCTCAAGGCCTCCCAGTTGATGGGGATTACCCAGGAGGAGCTGGCCAGGCAGATCTTTGCCTCGGGGGGATCCTCTACACTCAGTAGAAGTACATCAATGAGGTAAGCAGAGGGAATTCCTTTATGCATCTATTTATAGTTCTAAGAACAAAATTAATTTAATTTCAACACAACTTTAGTTGAACAAGTCTAGATTCTGGGTTGGATATAGTCTGTTTAAATCATTTAAAACAAGAACTTGTTACTTGTAAGTATGGTTGCTTATAATTCATTGTGTTTCATATTATGATTGTGTTGTTTAGCACAATTTGAATTTGAAGAAATTTAATCATGCTGATGTATAAACATTGCATATGCAGGATAAGTAGACCTATGGGGTATGTATGGATTGATTTTCAGAGTTTGTTAATCAAGCTTTCTCCCTCTGTCCTCATTGAATTTGTTTAAATTTTACAAAGTGAAGTTTTTAAAAATTTTAACTGTGAGGTTTTCTTTTTGATATTTTTAATAATCTTTAACCATTACATATTCATGTACCACAATTATAAGGAAATATTTATATAATATACATCCTTCTTATAGCACCATATATCAAATTATAATGAAACAAACAAACTATACCTTATGTAATCTCACGGAATATATACATATATGCACAAGTATCTGGTACATCAATATCAAATTAAAGGACATAAGAGGTACATGTATTTCTTAATGTTACAGAAAGTATGGAAGTATTTGTTATTATAATGTGTTACACAGTGGTGAATAGATTGAACTCAAATTATTGCTGTTATCTTATTGGCAGATGTAGAATGTCTGTCATTTATGATTGGCTTATTTTCAGGGGAAGCCCAGCAGACAAAGGTCAAAGTGATTTTAACACAAACGCTATGGAGGCTCTAGAGGGGTTCATCATAGGGCTTTACTCAGCTGTATTTAATGCAATAGTGTCTTTAATAAACAGGTATATAAACAAAATTTTAAAACTTTTGAAAAACAGAGTCATTCAGATCTTTCACACGCACTGAAAATTGTGGAATTTTCACATTTTGGAAAATATCTAAAATGAAAAACCAACAAGTTATCTTTATGCTTAGTTCAGAGGTTACCAGCTCAGGATTAAATAATTTTTAGTCATGAAGACAGACATTTGTATATTTAACGTTTGGAATATTCAATAATTTTTTTCAGATCCATGTCTTCAAATATGCGGACCTCCACATCAATAACAGTTGTGGATCTACCTGGATTTCAGAATCCAGCTACCTGTGGTCGCAACTCTGGTGCTACTTTTGAAGATCTGTGTTACAACTACGCTAATGAAAAAATACAGATGTTGTACCATGAACTGACCTTTACCTTACAACAGGATAGATACAGTCAGGTAGTCCTTAATATTTGAACTTGTTGGAGTTTTAAGGTTAATATTCATTTAAGCATTTGTTTTGACATTTGAATGTAAGAAATCAGAGTGCATATAAAATTAGGAAACTTTTTTTTTAGTATAAAAAAAATGAAAGAAATTAAAAAAAAAAAACGTGATTTTATAAGGTACATGTACTGATTATTTTAAAGTAATTTTTCATTGATTGCTTCCATTTTTTATTTTTTCCCTTTCATTTTTTCAGGAGAATGTTGAGTGTGATTTCGAGTTTGTTACCAGCAGTCCAGCAGCAATGGTGTCCCTTATTGACAAACCAGCCCAGCAACTTCTGGTAAATATTTAAGTATTTTGTCATGATAAACCAGAGTTTTTCTCTGTAAAATTCTATTGCTCTGATTTAAAGATTAATTTAAAAAAGTATATTAAAACCAAATACACATGTTGAATTCAGAGTTCTTCATGGAACAGTTATTTTGATTCAAACAGCGTCCCATTGGCAACAGGCATCATGGGATTGATTCCCATCATTCAAATCATGATCATTCCCATCATGCATCAGATGAGGTATTTTCAGTAGCTTTTTCTGTCTATCAACTCACTGTGTTGGGTGATAGTGTGTCAAATTGTGATGGTATTTGTAAATTCACTAGCAGTTTTCATGAATTCTGGTGGAGGAATCCATGTTGCCATTTTGCACCTTAGTTGACAGAATTTCACTTGTAGTGGACGTGACTAGCTTAGAAATGCTGTCACCATTTGAGAAATTGTTCTCTCTTACAAGTTCTGTATGATTGCGGTGTTTTTAGTGTTATTTGCAAACAAGGCTTCTCGGAAAGATATACAGTGTATTACATATTTAAATTCACAAATTATTTTTTACTTTTTTACAGATTTTGATTAACTTAAATCCTTGTGTCTAGAATTTAGCTGCATCTTTTTAAAAGTTTTTTCCCAAGTACATGTAGATATGTAGATTCAGCATTAAACTTTCAATGATTCTAATTTTTTTTTGTATGCATTCATGATTATTCTTTCAATTAATTCATGAGATTGTTGATTTTTGTCGCTCTAATAATTTGCTACCGTTGTTGCTTGTATAAAACCAACAAAATTTTTAAAAACTTTTTTTTTTTCATATTTATGTTAGCAACCACAAGAATTGGTTTGTATCTGAACCTTTATCCCCTTTTCCCTTTTCTGGGCATTTTCCCAATATTTTCTAGTTTTAATTGCAGCAACTTTCATATTCTGTGAAATTCTTGGTGATATAACTAACTTTTAAAGTTGTTTTGTTCAATGTTTTTAAAGTTAAAAAATAAGTTTTAATCCTCATTAATTTACTAATTTATTGAATTGATACCTATGTAAAACATCGATTAAGTATAAGGAATAATTGATAAATGTAGAACCTAAAACTACAAAGTTACCCTAAACTTTCCTTCACAACCCAGTAACCACTACGTACCTTGCTGTCTATACATAAGCATTGTAGGTGTTGTTAAAGTTTTGATTTAGTGTTGGTTCAAAATTCACTGATGCTTTAATGTGCTTATTTTTATTTTCAAAAAAAGGAATCCTTTCAACTTGATAATGATCATATAATGCTTTTTTTTCCTGAATACTTTAAAAATACATGTATTTTGCCATTTTAGGTTAGAACTTCATCACAAGAAATAAAAGACAGTGATAAGAAAGGGTTGCTATGGATACTGGATGAGGAAGCAATATTTCCTGGAGCAACAGAGGACAGTTTTATGGACAGACTTTTTACTCACCATGGAGAGCAGAAAGTCAAAAGTATGATAACATTCACATTTATTGTTTGGCCCTATGAATTTCATATTAATGAGAAAAAAATTACCTACATACCAATGTTCCAAACTGTCAAATTAACGAGAAAAAAGCATAAATACAGTTTAAGCCATATTCTAATATGATGGGGGGGGGGGGGGGGGGGGGGGGGGTTGACAGAGAAATAATTTCACTTCTAACCAATTCCTGCCTGATTTGAATATTTACAGAGGACAGTCTGTTAAGGAAAGCCTCCTCACTGGGGAACACATTTATTCTGAATCACTACCAGGGAACCAACCCTGTTCAGTATAATGCCAGTGGCTGGCTGAAAGGGTGTCGGGAAAACCCCCTTATCAAAACTGCTATTCAGGTCCTACAGGATTCTAAGAGGTAAGCATGGACACAATCTCTGTGACAAGAATTTGGTTTATATCCTGAATTATAGGACATTTTTTTCTTTTGTTAATTACAATGTTCTTTCTAGGGAACATTGACAGGATAAATACTTGAAGTATAGATAGATTTCAAAATTTAAATAAATCTTTTCAACATAAGTATCAATGTAGATCTCCTATTGGCATTGGATCTTTGTAAAGAACTGGTACATGTATATTTTTGTTCTTTGAAATCTTAAAAAATAAAAAAAAAATATAGGATAAAATGAACGTAGGGTAAGAATGTGATAGTTTCCATTTGTACCAATGCAAGTTCATTTTATTAATTTCTTATATCATACATCACTCTGCAAATATTATACAGTATAGATGATTTCTATTTTAGACAAAATATCAATGAACTTTTCAACACAGTCAAGGCTCCTGTAGCAGGGATGGTCAGTGGATCCATTGTAGGCATGGAGGGGTCAACTTCTCTCAAAAGAGTGGGCAGTATGCGAAGGACCTTCATGTCAGGGACAGCAGGTCTCAAAAAGCGCTCAATGTGTCTTCAAGTTAAATTCCAAGTGGTAAGTCTTTTACCACATTTTTTTTATTATGACACATCAAGTACATGTATGTCCCAGTAATGCAACGGGAATAGTTTTACGTACCAGATGTATTCTCATGTTATTGATACCTAACCTTTACTTATTTTAATGGGATTCATGTTTTAGAAGCTTTTAGGCCTTCTGTTGTACATACATGTATAATGATTTGTGATCACCTCTTAAAATATGAGTTTCATGTTACAATTATATGATTAATGTGAACTTTGACACTGATTTTTTTAATGAATATGCTAATTAGTCCATGCCATGCATATGCATTGAGAAATGAAAGTGCTAAACAAACTGTATTACTTTACAGGACTCAATAATAGAAACCCTCCGTAAAACTAAATGTCACTTTGTACACTGTCTCCTGCCACAACACAATGCTGGACTGTGGGAGCTAAAGCAGGGAACATCTCCACAAGACAAGCCCTCAGACGAAAACCTAATGAACGTTCCTCTTGTAAGATCTCAGATCAGGGGTGCAGAGCTTATGGAAGGTGTTAGGATCTACAGGCAAGGTAGGCAAGCAGGGAGTTTTTTATGCAATTGCTTTTTAATTACTTTTACGTACTAGAAAGATCATTTATGAGAATATCATATGGGAGTAGGAAGGTAGGTGATACACATTTAAAGAATTAGCTTTTACATGGTTACAAGTTTTGTTTTAATATATCGGATAATTAGGAAAATTAACAATGCATTTTTCTTTCTTCACAATTGTCTGCTAATATACTAGTATTTTTGTCAATCTGCATATCAGTTCTTTTTTCCTTCTAAATCGGTAATTAAGAAATAATTCCCGCGTCGGAGGAATTGTTGGAGAATATATCTGGATAGTCGAGAGATTCTGTTGGCAAATAAAAACCGAGCCCGAAGGGCGAGGTTTTTATTTGCCTACAAAATCTCGAGACTGAGGGGTATTTTCTCCAACAATTCCGAAGACAAGGGAATTATTTCTATTCTGCTACGTCGAATTTTTAAACTCCTACATGTATATAGAGAAACGGAGAAGTAGATGTCGACGTCAATATAAGTGCCTTATTGCGTCATAATTGAATGCTACTTCTTGTTTATTTGCACTTCACGCATTAGAAAAAGTATGAGGTAATCCGAATCCAAAGTAAACTTTTTTCCCACTAATTTGCATCACAATCAAAAGAGGCCTCGGTTCTTTTCCTAGTAAGAGCAGTCAAAATAAGAGGAAACCGATTTAAAATTATTGATGACGTTTGTGATTTATTGGAGAATAATGGCTGCGGCATTTCTTTGATCTTTGCAATAACCGTAGTAGAATATAAAACAATGTCTTTCCTTTGAAATATGATAATGAACTGTGATAATGAGCTGAAAGAAGACTTTTTCTGTACATAGTTAATGCATATTGAAAAAAATGTCATAATTAAATTCAAAGTGGTTCAATAAAGGAATTCAGATGTCCTGGAAATGCTGTTCCCTAACTCGTTTTCTCATTGGTTACAGATGTAAGATTTTTATGTGTTACACTGTAGGTTTTCCTGATAACATGGTGTTCAGTGAGTTCAGACAGAGATTTCAGGGTTTACTTCCTCCTGGCAACCAGCCTGGGAAAGACGCTGACATGAAACAGGTAACTTTGGTAACAGTAGCACAATCTGTATATTAGACATCTCTGAAAGGAAAGAATGTGTGTCAACCATGTTAAGGGCAGGGGGATTTGTTATTTTAATTTAAAGGAAAAGTAATAGTATTTCAATCTAAAAACCCTCCAAACACCACCAAGTCACAGAAGTTATGGTTAGAATAAGCAGAGAATTTGATTTTGCGATTTGCAGACAATTTAATGTATAAAACTATGAAGTGATGTTTTGTTTAGGGAAGTGAAATCATTGAGATCTGAAAACTTTGTAAATTTCGTATTTTGTACTGCTTAAAAGTTTTGTTTTTTGGGCTATGAATATCCTATTTGATATTTTCAGGCAATTCTAACAATCTTGGATCATCTAGACATAGATAAACTGAACTACAGAGTTGGACTTAGCCAGGTACACTGTTAACTATTGAAATTTCTTGTCTTTTTATACTTTTATGTAATACCTATACAAAATTTTTAGCAAGGATCCAATTTTGGCATTACCGTTTTAGCAAGCGTGTTGAGATAGCTTAAATTGAATATCGTTAACAATTCATTCCGCATTGAAGTTTATTGCTCTTGGAATCATAAAATGGCTAAAACTGCCTCTTGCTTAAATTACATGTATATGCTGATTTTTAGGTCACCTGAGTCACTCAGGTGACCTATTGCTATCCGTTTTTTTCTGTTGTCGTGTGTCGTCCGTCGTGCGTTAACTTTTGAACATTTTCAGCTTCTTCTCTAAAACCGCTCAACCAATTTCAACCAAATTTGGCATATAGCATCTATGGGTGAAGGGGAACAAAAATTGTGAATTTCATGGTCCCTGCCCCCCTGGGGCCCCAGGGGTGGGGCTAAAACCACCAAAATTGATGCAATCTTTAAAAATCTTCTTCTTTACTCCTGGACATCAAGCAGTCAAACTGTTGGCATGATTGTAATAAGCATTGGACCCTCTACCTAAATTGTGAAATTCATGGCCCCAGGGTCAGGGGTTCTGGTGCTAGGGTGGGGCTCTATTGATTATATAGTGAAAATGCATTATTTCTTTGAAAATCTTCTTCTCTGCTCCTGGGTATTATTTAAACAAACTAAGTGCAGGGTTATGACAAGCAATGATGCCTCTTCCAAAAT